ATTAAGTGTCCAGTTTAAGGGTATTACACAGAAACATACCAAGGGAACATGAATCAAATATGTATCTTTATTCATTTACAATAAACTCATAAAATACATCATTCTGATTGAATATAAGGGCATACAAAACTGTCTAACATTGGTCTCTTAGATTATTTGATGGGTTTGATTGGTCCATAAATGGTATGATCAATGGTATTTATGTAATGAATGTTTTGGCCAATGAGATAGCCCAAATTAAAATTTCAGTGTTGCCAAAGATTAAATAAGGGATATAAGTAATGAAATTTTGTGGTAAGTTATCAATAAGTATATAGGGCTCTTTAAAGCCTATTAATTCTAATTTTCAATTTGGTTAAAAAATCCCGCATGGCACGGGTTCCGACTACTTTATCTTCTATAAAGACTGTTTTCTCTAAAAGAACCTCAAGGGTTTGGTTACATGATCGTTGTCTCTTAGAGCGGTTGTGCAAAATTTTAGGCTTTTCATATTATTATGTATTTTTATTTTCTATTATTCATTGACAGTATGATTCAATTGAAATTTCGTGAATTGGTAAAATGGGCTGTTAGGTAATGAGTTGGGCGAATGAATTTGAGGTGGGCTTCTTGAGATTTGCATGGATTGAAATTGCAGGAATTAAGCACATTGTTGGTTAGATTGTGATTTCACTTCTTCCCGGGTAAGGCAAGCAGGGAAAAGGGATTCGATTAACTTTTGAGTTAAAAAATAGTAAAATACAATTGATAGATTTCGTCAATTAAAAACACAATTTCCCAACTTGAAGAGTTCGTCCAGGAAGGCAATTTATGTTCTCAAGTTGCGAGCTTTGCTCCTATCTGTTTTTCCTCGGACAAGTGAGAGTTGAATTTAGGTTGCTACTAACGATCTTGGCTTAGGTCTTCCTATCCGGTAAGTAGTTCATCTCATATTTCTAGACATATCTATGACAGAATCATTTTTGAGAGATGAAATTATAGAGAGATAGAGAAGGAGACGAGAGGCGGTGTTTTCACATTCCAAAAGTTCCTGTTGTTGAAAATATAAGGATCTGCCTCTCTATGTCTCTCACTCTCCCACATTTCTCTTTTCTTATTCCTTCAGTTCTCTGTTTGTTGATTGATTCTATAACAGGAATTTGTGACTCGTAAGGGTGTGTGGAGTAACGAAACCTTGGATGGGCGAGGAGGGTTTTAAGAGAGAGAAGATAATTAGAGAAAGAGGAAGGACCGTGAGGGTTTTAAGAGAATATAAAAGGGTTTTTGGAGAAAACAAAGGAATACAGGGTACAGTTTTGTTTCTTTCTAGAAAGACCGCCTATATTATGGGGTTGGTAACACTTTCCCCACGAAATTTCACTTCAAAAAAGATTTCACCTATCAAGTCTGAAGTTTTTAGTTGTGATTGCCATGGCAGGGGTGACTTTGGCAATCTCTTTTTGTGTATCTCCATTTTTGGGAGTTTCTTGCTGAGTTTTGACTCTGTTAGAGGTCGGTCCTTTTTTTTATTGGCATTTCATCTTTTTGGGTCATTTGCAAAGTTCTTATAAGAATTTCTCATGGTGCTTTTGTTTCTTTATCAGTAATTTGATTTGGGTTTATCTTTTCATTTTTTTGTCTACTATTGCTGATTATACTTTCATGGATTGTATTTGAGATTCTGAGCATTCTTAATGAAATTAGCCATTGCCTTCAAAAAAACTTTTTTAAATCTCCAAGCTACCCTTTTATTATTTATTTGAATGATTTATGATTCGACTAGTTTTCTAAATATGACATTGAAGTCCTCTCAATTGCTCCAATAGATTCTTGCACATTTTCTGGTTGGATTCAACATGGTTTTTAAAAACGAATCGGTGATTAAACCGGTCAGGGGTCCGGTTACCGGTTCAAACGGTCTGACCGTTCGACCTGAACAGTCAGCCCGTTCTGACAAAAAATAAAAAAATAGAAAACGATCAAAACCGTTCGAACGGTTAATTGGCTGGTTCAACAATTTGCTGACCAAAATCAATGGTTTTGGGGCAAAAAGTGGTTTTGGAGGAAAATGGAACCGATTAGGAGACCGATTCCCAGTTTTTCCAGTCCAACCGTCCGATCCGGTCCGGTTTTGAAAATAGTGGGATTCAATATTTAAATCAAATGATGGATGTTTCTTTCTAATATATATAAATTTAAAGTTTCATTTGGTTTTTCATGATTTATTGGAAGATAGAGTGGGTAATTTTTATATTTTAAGATAAAGAGAAACGTTAATGTCAATGAAATGAAACAAGAATTTAAAGAAACTTGCTTTTCTATGTCAGTGAAATGAATCTTGTTATTTTAGCTGGTTATGTTTTAAGAAAATGGTTGTAGTTTTTGGGTCAATTAGGGTTTAAGAGAAAATGGCAAGAAAAAAAAAGTAAAAGAAGTTGAGGTGGGTATTTTAGTAATTTTAATGCATTCAATTAATCATTTGACATAAAACCTAAGGGCTATTTGTAGCAAGTAAAAGTTCAAGGGAGTAATTGTCATGGACCCGTAGTAGAGATATGGTTTTCAAAACCGGATCAGACCTGATAGTCGGATTAGAAAAGAGACAAAAGATGTTGATTTGGTCAGCAAACTGTTGACCCAGGCGATTGAACCGTTCAACTATTTTTTTTTTAATTTTTTTGTCAGAATGGCCCGACCGTTCATTCGACCTGGGAACCGGACCCCTGACCGATTGGTTGTCCGGATCGGTTTTAAGAACCTAGAGTACAGGGAATGTTTGTAATTTACCTTAATTTTTTTGATAAAATAAAAATCGTAAAGCTAGAAAGACATCTCATGAAAATTTTCTGTACCTTAATTATCCTCAACAAGAAAACGATGTGGCAGGCATTGAATGGACGACAGAAAATGACCCTTTTTGCGTGCATTCACAACAAACAACTTTTTAATTTAAGAAAAAAAAAGTAGGAAAAGAAAGGGAAAGTGGGAAACCTATACAACCTAAAGGCGTGTTAATGGATTATACTTTGATCTAGTCCGATCCTATTAATCCAATTCAATTACACAGTCACAGTATGAATATCCAATTAAACATTATTAAATAGGATCAAATGCAAAAAAATGTGGTCCATTTATTTTATTCAACTACTGGATTGAATTTGATGTATCCAACCCGATTTAATCAAAATAGGATTGGATCGGATTTTTTTTTGTTGGGTTCAGAGAATCCTGATATCTTGGACCAGAGTGTTAATGAATTTGGAGTGGGTCGGACCAAAACCAAACCATCGAAAAGCCCACCTTGGAATTTATTACAACCAGAGCAAGATCATTAATTAGTAATATAATACAATACATCGTTTAAAGTTTAAACAAAGAAAGATCACCATATATTGAAAATTTCGAACAACAATGCAGCAAACATTTTCTTTTAGCAGTAATTTCAGTAATTCATTTAGTTTATGTGTCCACGTTGGTGTAACCCCTTGAGAGACTCAAGGGACAAAATACATGGGATTAGGGAGCTTAAATGTACGCTGGCCCAAACAATCTCCCAAGAGATCGCTCCATTGGTCTCCCACATTCCCCCATATTCTGTAACCTTCCTCCACCAATTGTTTACGAATTTCTGATTTGAATACCACCGCGCTTTGCCCCTTGTAAACCTGATTTCTGAGATAAAGGCACACCAATAAACATCATCAATCACTATTTAATGGGACGTACGGTAAAAAATGTTTGGGCCAAAAGCCCAATAGGAGGATCCCGACGACGGCCCATCCAAATATTAGTTTTAATTTTTAAAAGCCCAATGTGGGGTCATATTTTATCATCATCATCATCTTACGTACCTCAGAATCAACCGTTCATAGCCAAGGTATCCCTGGTTGTGCAAATTCTCCAGTGTAGCCTGCCCAAGCGTCTCTTCATCTCTTCCCGTAACAAGGAAGACCTTAAAACCATTTTCCACCAACTTGGTGAACAAATCAAGGACGGCGGGAATTGCTGGAGAGACCCCTCTCAGTGCCCAGAATTTGAACCCTATTGGATCGTATGGATCGCACCTATAAATTCGTTACAGAATGAAACAGAATCATCAGTATTAAATTTCATCTTGTCATTTCCAGTAAAAGACGCGACTGTTGTTTAGTATCAAGGATTTAGCAAAAAAAAAAGACTGTTACGTTTAATCCTATATTTTTCAGTCGGATTTTATCTTCATTTGTGGAAGCAATCCACTGCCATTGTTCCACGCACTGATGGATAAGATTGATAGCCCCATCGATAATCTATATAAAATCTGGCCCATCTGAATTCAAACTAATTAGATGGGCATGGGCTCTCCCGTATAATGGTCGGAACTATAACAGGAGACAGTAGTGTGTGTGGGGGTGGCGAGAGTGCAGAGTCCAGTAATAAGATTAATAAGCAGGCCCCTATATAGGAACCCCTAAAAGCAAATTAATTAAAATTGACCCAGGATTTGGGTCCAAGATGGATGTGGATGAGGAATAGGATGACCATACCCAAATCGCTTTCCTTTGTAGTACCAGAGATTGGAGATACACGTATCGTCCACGTCCAGAATCCAAGCATCCATGCCATCATTAAACAAAACGATATCATCGATGTAGCTATAGATCTGCTCTATAACCATTCCCAGGTCACGCTCATACTGGCCACTCACCATGTAATTTTCGACGTAGCGTAGGCACTGGAATGGGACTGTGCGCCATGCACGCAAATTGTTTGCTTCAACTGCCACTCTCCAACTCAAGCAATAACCCGTGCTATCGAATGGATCGCTTGTCCTGGAGTAAGGTCTTGTTCCAATGGCCTTTGAGAACAGAGCTAAGAGCATCATCACTACAACCTCCCACAGCAACCGCATTGTTGAAAACATTTACACCTTTATCTCTAGCTAGGGTCCATATAAAATAAAAGAAAAGCATCGCCATCATCATCAACAGCAACAACACACCACAAAAAGGAATATATACATGCAGAAAAAGAAACGGATCAACCCAAGGCTATACTGCCTTTATTCCACCTCTTTTTTTAGCTAATTGTACTGTTATGTATAAAGTCAATATTGCATCATCTTATAATATTGGTTTTTGAAGGGATGTAACAGTAGAAACTCAGCCGAATATGGACCCGGGTGAAGTTCTCCCGCTTTATTTTCGCTAAACAGTTAATCTGGGAAGTGGTGAGAACATAGAGGGCGGCACAAATTTGAGTTGGGGGAGGGGATCGGCCAAAGCATGATCAGGATGATATTCCCCTAATAACGTATATTTCTTTATGGAATCAACAGTCGCGGTTAATATTGATTTGCATAAATAGTGGTCCAGCAGGCCAACCTAAACGGCGGATTGTTCAAGCCGTTTCCTTGGTTGGTTCAAAAGACAACAGGTGAAATGGATGTACATGGTTAATATCGCCCAGCTTAAATTGTTGCTTCATTTGGTAACAACAAGGAAATTTAAAAAGATGAAAACATCATGTAACAACTTGATTGGTTTTGATTAATTCTGTGCTCGTGTGCTATTGACAAGATGAATGGCATTGTATATATGAACAAGAAATGTGACGGGTAGGAGCTTACAAAGATTACCAATCTTACAACGAGCTTGAGGCTTTGAAGCACTACTCAAACCGAGACGGGGCTCTACCCAGAACGAGAGAGAGAGAGAGTACCAGATATACTCGGAGAGCAGATCAGACGACCGTTTTATGGCAAAGGGGCGGAATGCATCATTCTTAGCGCACGTTAACCAGTGGAATCACGGCATAGCTATGAGCCTTTTCGCGTGGAGCCGATGGTAAGGGATAACGTATACCGGATGAAACTTGACGTCTGTAAGTTAGGAGTCGTTTTCCGGCGGAGAGCTAAGCAGAGCGAGTCAAAATTTATAAGGAGAAAATAAAGAGGGATTTAACGAAATTATCAGCATATTTGGCATTCCGAATGTGCTAAGATGTAGCCGCTCCCCATCTTGCCACATGGCTACGAGATTGAACCTTTTTTCATTTCATGTGGCTCGTATCGGCTCAGGGCACCGGCAACGCCGTTACTTGGAAAAACATTTTGCCCTCTGTAATTCGTTGTTTAGTCAGAAAAATGGTCCTTTTCTCTTCTCTTTGGGAATGAATGGGAGATAGAGAGGTGATGTAGTCTAAAACTATAATGTATAGGTAAGTATGGATAATTATCTTACCTATCATGCATTTTGGGTTGCGGTGGCGGTGCTGAATGGAAGAAAAGATACCAGCTCTCAACTTGTAGAAGAAAAGATAATTCCTATCAAGTTATCTTCATGGAATAAAGGTTTAACCATTATCATACGACGACACCTATACTGTAGGCAAAGGACGCCTATGCAGTCTAGATATAAAGACTAAAGAAGAATTGGAATAAAGAATATTGAGACCAATGTTGCGAGGTTTATTCTAAGGAAGGTATATATAAATAAATATTGCTCTGGAAAACAAACCAAAGACATTATAATACTGATAAGGGAATGATGAATCACTTCATCACCATATTATAAGGAAAAAGCATCACAAGTTGGTTCACCAATGGTGCGTGTCATCTACATGGCACCCATGCTTATATGTTGTACCTAATAACCCAAAAATGGTGTTTCCTCTTAAGGTGTCTTCATGCATGTTTAATGACCATTAGATGACCCCGATCGATCCCTTTTGATTTGCTGAATAATCCTAAATATTAGTGCGATGATTTGAGAATTAATTATGATAATCGTAATTAATTATTCATCACCAACTGCTTCAACTATGAGGTTTATAAGTGGTTGATATGCCTGCATATTGTTGTTAAAAAGTAGTGGTATACTTACTTCTTGGAATGCAGTTAGAGAAAAAAAAAAAAAGTACAAAAGGAGTGCCAAGAAAATACATGAAAGGTGACATCACCCACAAGTATCTCGCGTGTGCTTCCCACTAATAAAAGCCTTACCATACTGATTATAATTTCATACATAAGAATAATGAGGTTTAAAGTCGACATGAAACGGAAAGACTTGTCAACTTTATTTCCTTTTTGTCAATTAACATGCTTTCTTATAATTCAATAGCCTTTTGAATTTTCAAACCCAAGCGGCCAAGCGTGTAACGTGGGTGGTCTATGGTTAGGATTTTTGAGGGATAAACACTGACACAGTACCAAAACCATGTAATTTGGAGAAGATCGGCTCGAGGGCTCTTACTGGCTTTATACAATGTTCATGAATAAAATGACCACCCCTTAATGCTCCGGCTTAATTATCCATTGCCCAAAAGAAAAGATTAATTATCTATGCAGGGCTTTTTTGGTCAAATTCACAACCTCATCAATTAAAATAGAGAAATAATGTTGCCAAGAGCATCGAACGAAGCCAACTGTATGTCTGTATCCGAGACTTCTTTTCGAAAGATGCTATTTGCCTGCTGGAACTAGCATTGTGGCTTCAGCTTCGGGTTTACATACAGAAATACGTGGAAACAGTGCTGCCCATTTGGTTAGGTTATCAGATTCATGCTGAGTGGATAGTCAAGAGTATGCCCTCGATGTTTTTAGGAAGGAATCCCAACCCTGTAATTTGGGTCTCTGTCATTTTTTTTACCTGAAATTTAAAATGGAATAATTTAGTATCCGATCTTTTGAAACGTATCAATACCGTACCAACTCTTAACCAATTGTTAAATGGAATTTGAAAAAAACACAAATGCTTCTTGAGTGTCTTCTAATTTTCTTTATCAGTCATTTAAACATTAATAGTCCTAAATCCTTGCCTCTTTTGTTCATGAAAATTTGATTCAGAATGTCCACTCAGACGTAATCCCAACTTTCATGAATAGAAGAATGGGATTATTAATTTTTTGTCAAAACTTGGATGGTTGACAAAGAAAATTAAATTACACTTGAAGGGCATTTAGCAAATGATTTACGGTAGGTACTGGATTGACACATTTTGAAAGTTTGGATACTTAATTGTTGCATTAGAAAGTTCAATAAACAAAATGGCATTATACCCAAAATAAAGGGTATTAATCAGAAATTTTCCCTTATGCTGTACTTGGTTGCAATGCAAACGCAAATATGTACACTACATATATACCCATTTTCGGTTCATGAATGCAAATACGATTCACATTTTAAATCGTTTTTGCATTCATCTTATTTGTTTGAAATTGGTGCAAAAGTGTGGATTCATCATTAAATGCTCCAACTATATTATGCTCTAATGCATTAACTTTGGTCAAAAAGTTAATTATCAAAAAAAAAAACAAAAGTGTATAAAAAAAATGGGTACAATAATGCTCTTTTCTCAAAGTACAAAAGTGTCGAAAAATATATTTGTGCTCTTATAATTATTACTTTTTTACGTTTCAAACAAATGCTCGCAAACACGAATCGAGATACATAAATACCCTGGTTCGACGTTTGTATCGCAAACAAATAGAGTTAAGCTTACAAATGCAAATGCATAGAAAATAATACAAAATATAAGGTTTTATACTCTATAAATTTGTATTTGTAATCCTTTCAAACTGGGCATTAAAAGAAAGCTGTGTAGAGAATGGACGCCAAAAGCAAATGAAAAATCTTTCAGTAAAACCAAAAGAAGATGGAAAGGATGGTTTTTTGGTGTAAATTTGTTCAAGCAGGAAAAACCCTACTTTAAACCAAATGGAAAAACCACTCACGATTGATTTAAATTTGAGATTTGACAAATCACAAATCTGCTTTACCCAGGGCCATCAGCATCTCTATAGTTGTCTACCCTAAGCCGCCGAAGGCTTTGGGAAGAGCGGAGCCCAGATCAGAGGGTTGGTGCGAGTGACGTCGGAAACCAGGAAGGGCTTTGCTTTGTGGTTGTGGTGGAGAGCCACATCGAGGGGTGGGGCCCACCTCGCTCGCGGTTGCGGCACCGAAGACGATCGCCGGAGCGGGGGTGGGGACTGGGGAGTCCCTCTTCAAAAAAGAAAACTGAACAAATAAATATAAGTGGAAATTGTGTCAGAGGCCACGATTGAATTTGAATGAATGCCAAAAGTGGTGGAGGAACGGGAACCGCCATCTCATCTGAGCAAAGCGAAACAAATCACGTGCATGTGATGGGTCCCTCTCCCTCTCCCTCCTACTCCTACTTCTCTTTTCCCGCCCTAAACACTCAAAAGCGTGCCGGCAGTCTTATATGCAATGAGTATGCCACGTCAATTAACAAACTACCTACCTATTTGATCAGTGTTAAGTTACGAATGAGTAGTCCCTTTTTTTTTTTGATTTTGCTAGCACCGTTGTCATGGGCTGGCTCCAGCCTCCAAGAAAAGAGAGGACTTGGGTTAAAGCAAAGCCTACCCATGTGTGCCCCATGAAGAACCAGCCCAGCCCAGGATTCAAGACCCACCAATGCCGGTGCAGTCAGGTTCAGTTCAGCCTTATTTACCAGATAAAGATCTTGCCAATTATATCATTATTTACGGAAAATGGAGAGAGAGAGAGAGATTGGGCTGAGACTTTCCACGCATCAAGGAAATTAGGTAGTTACCAACTTACCATTTGAATTCTGAAACCAAAAAGATGGTTGGGTAGCTTATTTCAACTGCCATGTGTAAAATCCACTTGTTAAAGAGGGTATCAAATGTTGATACATCTAAGTCCTCCTAGATTCATCAGAGTGCTCACCCGTACAAACAGTTACAAAATCCTCAATCCCCAAAGTTAATTCCTTCCTAGTGCAGAAAAGTCATGATGATAAACGAGACGTCTATGGATTCTTCGGTGGTGGAAGTGTTGCCCCATTAAGGAATGACAACACTTCATATCGATGCACAATCCAACCGGTTTCTTACACGTTCAGGTAGTGTACCAAATTCCATTAAAACAGCAATCAACGTTTGATACTTTGATGTACCATTGTCCAACCGAACGTGGATTCGTTTGTACTCTCAATGTAAAATGAAGATGCCTCTGCCAACCTGTTGTCGGTCTTTTAAAGGGTGTGGAATCTGGATGGATGGATTGGATCATCAAAAGGCCCACAGAGCGGCCAATAAGCTCTAATTCCCATCTCTCAGGACAAATGGAGAAAGCCAAATTCCATCTAGTCCAATAAATTAAGAGCATATCCTATTGTCCCGTTCCAATATCATAGAGCCTAATATAAAGTCTAACCAGCAAATAGTAAATACATCCACCACCGAGCAGATGCCACTACGCCAGAGAGCATAGAGCCATAGAGCCCTCATACATATAACTGGGATGGGCCAAGCCCAACCAAAAGCACGCCCACCTTAGTCTGGTGCTTTTCCGTCCACGTCTACCGCCTACGAGATTAGAATAGAAAATTCACACCATATACAGATATATGTGTGGCTGGCTGCGGTATCCGAGTGGTGGGGGACCTATAACTGCAAGCTCAGTCAGTGGTCAACTCAAATACTAAGTGGGACTGTGGGAAATCTGTGGATGACCATGCAAAATCCAACCTATAGGACATCGGATTTAATTTTCAAATATAGAGAATCCAACACCTTTCTCTGTAGCCGTCCAACCAATTGATGGGCTTAGGAGTTAGAGCATTATATCATCCCTACCTACCCACTACCTGGGCCATAGAGTGGATCCGGAGAGCAAGCACCAACAAGTGATGTCTACGGTTAGCAACTTTGCATCGATTCAACATATAGCATTTATTAATTGATCTTTTATTTATTTTAGTAATCAATCAAACTCCACGCGAATTAGCATTAAGCTTAAAAGCCTTCAACTCAGTGGTCACATTGTGTGGGTGACAACAAACGAGTATGTGAGGATGATCACTCTTATTGCTGGTTTCAAAATTCTCTGCCATTTTTCATTATTATTGCTACACATTTTTAGAAATACATAAACCACGCACATTACGACTTGCTTTTGACATTTGATTCATGTACCAAACTGTAAATTAGGAAAGATAAGGTTGCATTTCGCATTTATATATTTTAAGGATTCATCTCATTTTTACTGTTAAAATACTCTTATCAATACTGAACTTTTAACTACAAAAATGACATTAAGCCTTTATAAATAAGGAATGCCAAAAGAATTAACTGAACGAAATAAGTTATTCGGTAAATTGTGGAACCCATGACATTGCTTTAAGGGGTGGGATACAAGAGGTCATGATCATTTAACTTTTACCACTGACCTGGAACAATATCATTGATTCCACAGCCCATTCAACAGCCACCGCATTCAGGTAATCCGAATTTGCTAAAAGATAACGAATAGGATGAATTCTGATTAACTGAACGATTTAGCTGTTCAGGAGGCTGCCCATGAATTTATTACCGGTTCCACAGTCCGCTGAACAACTACAGCGTTCAGCTAAATCTTGTTCGAATGGGATGGGTCACATAAATGGTAA